TCAAGTCTAATAAACATGAAAAAAGTCTAATAAACATGACAACTAAAAAGAAACAGAGGGAAAAACGATAAAATCCAATGAAAAAGCAAGCCAGTCAAGGAAAAATATCGCGTGCTATCGATTGGCGTGAGGCTGGGTGAGTACGGTAGTTGCAGCGACATTTGCCGCATGCTGCAAGGGAGAATGCCGCAATCGGGGAAAAGTTACGTTACCCCACTGAGAGCAATGACTTGTACCAGGGTACCGGACTCGTCTGGAAGGATGAAAGCACTGGCATGTACATCGGCTGGCATCCGCAAGTCATTGCATAGGTCACATTCGCGTTCAATAAGTCACTACGATTTTAAAAGGAAGTCGAATGCGAGGGCGCATCCATCAGACGGGATGTAGCTCAAAGACTCTACCCTTTTCATCCTTCACACTGCTTTGCGTACAATCTTTTATAATAGAACCGATTTATTAGATCGATGCGAGCGCTGGTGGAACCGCAGAAAGTCTTGGAAGACGAGAAATTATTCTAAACGTCGACTTGATAGAGTGGCTCTACGAACCCGTACGGCGAGGCAGTTTGAAAAATCATGTGACATGCCCAGGTTTCGAAAAGACAAAACATAGAAGTTGTAAACATCTCAACTATTGCGGACTTCAACAGTTTCGCAAATCGGTAGCAACGATCTCTGCTCGGCATACTACGAAACTCTGATGCTGAAAACCAAAAACTTTAAGTAAAACCAAAACTTCACCTCTCAGGTGAACTTCAGAGGAAAGGGATGAGTGCGACCGAAAGACGAGTATGACCGAATGAAACTTCGAGAAGCGATCTATCTACCGAATTAAATTTGGCTTGGATCTTGGGCAATGCCGTGTCTTTAGAACCATGCTAAGAGGATCTGTTCTCTGCAGTGAGACCATTTAAACGAAGTACAGTTTTTATGCCAACGCTCTGTGGGATTTTCGAATCAATAGAGCTTCTTGCGAAGGGTATCTGGAGGCGAAAACAAATTCAAATCACTGACAGTCGCATCGAAATCACACGATCCTTCATGTTCGCCACACTGTTTTCAAATAGAAGTCTTTATTCATCATTTCTATTAGCGATTTGTCAAATACGTGAAAGATGAGTGCCACTCCTCAGCCCTTGACCATGTGCTCTTTCTCAGCAATCGAAGGCACACTGTTTCTGAAAATGATTACATCTTACTCAACTGAACAGCCAATGTTCTAGTACTAATGACTACAATAATGACATTTCCTCCACATGCCTTAGACCTACTCCTCAGATCTTTCTTTCCTTCGCCCTTTCTGCTCAGAAGGCATTCCATATTTCTATAAAGACGCATAAAGCGAATTCTAATAGGGTAACCATAAAGCTACCCATAATGCACTAGGGAAAGGGGAATAAACAATAGGTAGCCCCACTCATAGAATGTATAGCTGTTACAGCTCCTGAATGATTTCCAAAGACATCGTTGATTTACTGGCCTAGATTAAACGCTTATTAGATATGGTCGAGTTGCATTTATGCTCTTAAAGACGACGATTACATGAATTCCTAAGCTGCAGGTCTCTCATGTAGTTTCACAGCAAAAACATCTATTCTTCTTGATCACTTGATTTCGCTTTAATGAATATTGAAGATTTGGCTCGAAATATTCGATGTCATACCCTGCGGATATTGGGGCATCGCAAATTCTTAACTTCCCTGAGGAATTACTCTAGCGCTCTAAAGTCATCAATAAGCAGCACATTCGAGAAACTCTGAATTCGAGAGCACTTGAACCCTTCCCCCTAGAGGGTTCATTTCATTCCGAGAAAATTGGAGGCGACATTGTACGTTGGGTGGTGGGTGCCAAGAAAAATGACGCTCTCTAAAGATGATTTCAAAAGCTTCTAATTCCCTTAATGGAAAATTCCAGAGCCAACTTGTATTAGGAAATGATGCGGCCATTCAATGTTTTCATAAAATTTTAGACGTTATCTCTACAAAATGGAATACCATTCAAGGTGGGAGATAGTCGAAACTCAAGGGAATAACCTCATACTCCGATCAGGAATTCTTACAAGTTCATTGATGTTTTGTGATTGAAAATGGCACTTGGTGACTTCTTACTCGATTGGCCCCGGAGTTTTGACCTCACAAAGGGCACCTAATGTATGTCCTAACTCGAGATTGAACCGGATTTACTCGCTAGTAGGGATCATTGAAAGACCAATAGTGAACGCCCCCCTGCGAGTGGGATAGCGCATTGTAATATATTCGGAGCTCCTGCGAATATCTTCCGAGAGTCAACCTTCATTGAAAATCAGTTTAACTCCCAGGCAAGACCCCAGTAATTCATGTCACTATGTAATTCCAGCACAACACTGATACATTTCCGTAAACCTCCTTTCCGCCGACACAATTATTCGCCATAAAATTATCAAGTAAGTGTGATACGTATCAAGTAACAACCTTGAGTTCATGTCTCCCATAGCCACTGAGAGGACTATTCGATCCAAACCAGTGCCGATGCTGCGGCCTCTCGTCTCTCCTGATTTACTTGGTTTCTGAAAAGAAGGAAGTGAGCGCAAGTTTGTAACACAGTAAAGGGAGTAAGGATGGAAACAAGGTTGCGGAGGCAAAGAGGATCTGCTAGAATGTTGCAAGCTTTTCCATCCAACATTCAGAGTTCAATAAAAAAGCTTTGCTGTAGAAACAACAAACATGATAAACTGCAACTCGTCACATGGTTTAGAGAAAACCATGCCAATACCATGCCAATAAAGCTCCATACGTTCCATGTTCACAGACAACAAAGGAGAAAATCGGGAATGGTTCTGGCCAAAATAAGAGCAGGGAATAAGAATTCAAAAAATCTAAGTCAATCAAATGCACAGCAATGGGAAGGCTTTGATGAGCTGAAAGTTNTAAGCACCTTCTCCGTGAAACATTCATGGCGATGTGTCGCACTCAGCAACTAAAACGCAACTCCATGAAGCTCTTTCGAGTAGGCAGAGAACGCCACACTTCTCTTTTATGCGATATTCGAACTGCGGGCGTGGCAAACTAGTGCACACTGAAGTACTGAAGAGTGGTCAGTTACCAGAGGCGCCCTCTTATTTCTAGTGCGCTCCTCATAACTGATAACTCTCCAGTCGGCTTCAGTATGTCGCGTTTACACCCTAACACAAAACGTGCCTTCCGGCTCTATCAGATGCAACTAACTGTAGGAAAAGTGTCAGAGATCGACCTACCGCAGTGCCTTCCTCCGCACCTGTTTCCTATAAATTTGCAATGCTGAAAGTGAACTTCACTATTTTAATCAACTGCATAGTTTCTTTTATTCTCTATCCTTCAACTACTCAAAAAATCCTGTACCTTTTGTAGTAGAACATTTTGACTTAGTCCTAATTCAAAAGCTGTAAGGTGACCCATCCTGCTCGGCTTATCGTTGAGTAGCGCAACTGACTCTAATTTCGTTCTTATTCGTGCGAAGTGTTTCCAGGCCAACAAACTTGCCGTTGAAAAGTTAATTTTAACCGAAACTACATCAACAGCTCGCTACATCTTCCTCTGCTGTATCTGGCAGCATTACGGGGAATATGACTGCAACCTCATTGAGGTTTAGCACCAGAATCCCTGAAGTTTCCCACCTTCACTAGCATTTACGTCTTTTTGCAGTTTCAAGGATAACATAAGGAATGTTGAGTAGTCACCACCTTAGACAGAAATTCTTATATGAACTGAGTCACCGAAAGGTGCTCCGCTGATACATACACGTTGAGAGGTAGTATTAGAACCTAATGTTGAGCCATGAAAATTCACAATTAAGAAAAAGATCACCTCATAAATCATGAACCCGCATCCCGTTTCGCAATATCGCACTGTAGTCGTACGTGATCGTTTATTTTTTGGTGAAATTGGCTGCAATGACAACATTTAAGATAGCTTTAGGTCTTCATTTAGGTACGTACATATTTATCCGAATCTTGTCTATCATCCTTTGGAACGGCCGCCCCAAGGTTTCTTTTTTGAATTTTAGAGGTTTTTTGTTTTCATATGGTACGGGACTGCTCTTGTTTGCATGGTTTATTGATGAGCCATCTTTCAAATAACTGTTCTGAGAAAAGAATATAACACAAGGATGAAGGGGAAGGTGAACAAAAGCTCGATGATTACCGGATTGCAAACCTCTCGAAAGAAGTCAAAGAGCATATTTGACATACTATGTAGGCTGTATGTGTTGAGAAAAACGAAACAATGTTGTGAATTCAGTTAAGTACATTGGTGCTTGAATGGAGAAGCGCGACTGATTGGAAACTATGGTTTCAAGAGGCTGAACGTTCAGAAGGTAACCAAACAGTGCCATGTTACAGTGTTTTGAGTTCTTACTTATATGACTCCTATACCACAACTATTACATATTTCGGTACCACTTATGACATCATTGTGATCCATCTAATCATGATCACGGTTGAAAAAGAAGCACTTCTGGAGGGCGATCCGACAAGAAAAGAGGAAAGTCAGCTGCGGTGAAAACTGCATTAGCACAAGTAAGCTATCTAAGTAGAGTGCGTTATGGAGTGTACAGTTATTCACTAACTACTCTGTACGTTCCTCGAAGCACAGCCAAAAAAATGAATCACGATAAAAAATCATAATAGTAATACCCGTGAGTCCCATGGAGATATTCTGAAAAAACTACAAAAGAAAGAAAGTCACAGTCATAGGCCAGTCATATCCATCAAGGAAGTAGGTATGACATAATCTGGATAGGTGCGATTTCATTCATTCAGTGTACGATTCATAGTGCCTTTAAATCTAAGGCACAAATTCTTTGTTAACCGCGTTGGATCAGTGTACAACGCTTATTTAAGCTTGACTCCCTCCCTAAATCGACGAATGCCCTAAAGCCTATTTAGTAAAGTTCTCCAATAAAGGTCTAGCGAATTATATTTCTTAGTTATATTATGCTCTGTGTGTATCTTGCTGTTATTTCGTTTCTGTTGCCTTTCGGCAACCTCACATGCTTGACATGTAATGAATATATAAATAGATAAATTATGCTCTTCACCGACCTTGTTACTATTGCTGCTCCTGAAGAGAACGCAATTGTTGAGAGCGTCGAGTACTTCACATCGAATTCGTGCATTGCATGCAATGTAGATAGGAAGGCGGCAAGCACTGAAACAAGAAATAAGGATCACAAGAATAAAAGAATATCTTTGGAGAGAATGAGGAAATAGCTTCCAGTGGCTAGCCAATGCCAAGTCATGGTAGACGCTCGGAGAGAGCAGGATAAGGATCTAACGTGGTTCCTGAGCACTGTGAACATGCAAGGAAGATCCCAAATGCCTGAAGGAACAGTACTATCGTCCCCATCTCCGAGTAAAGGAGATGCGAAGGAGTGATCTAACTGCTCTGGTTGATTGTGCATTGCATACAACTCTCCGAGTTCTTAGTCGACACATGACCGAGAAAACCTGTCTCAATTTTACAGGAACACTTCGGCATCATGCCGGAAAGATCAACAACCAACAGATGCCGCAGTCATAAAAGACAGACAAACTGATATCCAAATCGGAGTGATGGAGAGGTATCAAGAAAAGCGTAAATTGCCATGTAGCCGTTCTTGATTTGAGAAAAGATTGCAACCGTCCCCCGCGACGAGGGCTCTGCAGAGTGCGTCGGTAGCAAGACATTCCAGAACACCAATCGCCGTGGTCAAGGATATGTACGATGAGTCCACGACAGCAATACCCATTCCCAAACCACTAGACGTCCTTACGGGGGTACACTACGGATTAGATCTGAGCCTTTTCCTCTTGTTACTCTTTCTGGATGTTATCAGAAGCGGAATCCTGGACGAACCACTGATACTAGAAAGGTACTAGACTTTCTATAATCGCGGAAAGATCTAGCCGCCGATAATAGACTGAATCAGGCTGTCAAAGATTCAATAGACGCGGCAAAGAGTGCCGATCCGGAGCGAGAAAGCATGAAGGTCAGCTTCACCCGCTTACGTAAGGATGCTTAAACGGATCCAGTCAAAGAGTTAAGTCTTCAGGCTTAAACGTTAGGATCCAGTCAAAGAGTTAAGTCTTCAGGCTGTTCATTCTAACAACCCCTATCCACCTGAAGATGAAGAGCAGTGAGAACAACTGGAACGGTTATATGCTGAGAAGACCACAGATCATCCAATAAAGGAGACAATGGATTGCTAGGCTCGAAAGAAGCGACCGAAGGAGCCCTGAAAAGAGGACGAGGGTTATGATTGAGAGGAAAATCGCCGGAACTAAAGTAATGGCCTAAGTTGCCAGAATAGATGAAAGTGTAGACGACCGACAGGGGTGGGAGACCTTGTGACGGAGGGTTGGGCTCTTATCTTCGCAGAAGAGGGTTGTCTAACCATGCTTGTGTTATAGTGCGCCACTTGCCACTACACTCTTTCCGGCACGTTTTTCCTATGTAAATGGACGGTATGTAAAAAACGTACCTGGCTAACACTGTCAGTAGAGATACTAAATCAGACGACAGAGTGTAGAACGGTCGCAACTGCTCTGACATGAGCGAAGGCTATAAAGATTTGATCCAATGACAATAAAGGGCAATTATGAAAAGTAGTAGCTCCTTACTTTGTCTATCAACTCCCAGGTGTAAACGATTACGTTGAGCATGTTCGATGCAAGGTAGGTGCACGTCACAAACACCAGCATCAGTGTTGCCGACCGAATGTTCTTCTGGAAAAGCAGAAGTTCTAGAAGCACTAAACGGAAGCGAAAGCATCACAATTCAACAGCACGTCCTTTCGCTTTGCTTGCACTAGCAAAAAAAACTAGTTCGGTGCAATAGTAAGGCTAGCATTTGTCTAGGATCGAATCTCATTCAATGTTACATATATCCTGGGACTCCCCCGGACATAACATTAAATGAGATTAAACATCTACATTCTTACGTTTGTGAATTAGGTTCGAAGAATTCTACATGAAACTGGTTACGGTTGTTTGATCCCAGTAGCACATAACCGCTCGTCTTCCAATGATAATTGATCCCGTGACACTTTACTTTCCAGGTTATGGTAAGACAAAGAAAGGCCTTCGTAGAAGTACATATTTGAACTCACAATTCATATGTATGCTCCTTGAACGACGTCCCCCACCACCGCCTGTCCTTTCGTTGCCACGAATTCGCTCGAGTATGTATTATTCTAGTGAACCCTTCTCGCCTGAGATCCCTTCTATAGTTATAGGTTTCGTCTGTTGGCTCATGATCAACCAGACCTTCAGATTTTTCTATGCGCTCGTGTGTATCGTGAACTCCGATCACAACCCTTTCCAGACCACGTTGAATGATAATGACTGCATGCTCATACCACCTGCGTAGAGTCCGTGCATCAACGCAGGAAGAACCGTCGTGTCAGAAAGATGGCTGCGGAGACGGATGTTCTTTGACTTCTTCACTACTCCTTCGATGTTCTTAAATAGTCCTTATAGGGGACGTGATCACCAAGAGAAAACAAGACCTGGGAAGTTCAAATTCCTGAGCTCCCAAATTGAGTTTTGAATGAGTGTGATCAGTAAAGTGTTGAGAAATAACGAGAACGTGCTAAAATTGACGCGCACCCGCTTTTCCTACTTGGGAACTATATCTTTTTTGCTACTCTTGTACCATATTAGAAATACAAAGCTTACTATATACCCACTTAGAAGTTTTTCAACCATTCGAAAAGAATGGTCGCATGCATGGCATCTTTCTGTCCTTCTAGGAGCGTCACCGGCATCTGGTCAAGCACTACTCGGTGTTGTCATGGGTGAGACTGTACTACAGAAAGCGCCACTGGAACTACTGATTGAGCAGCTTGTGCACAGTTTCGCAACTGTTTCGGCGACTTCCGCAGTCAAGAATCCCATCTTGCACACTGTAAAGTCCTCACGACATTCCCGTGCTATCCCTGAGAATGTTTCAAGTGCTGAAGAACGGATAGGACCCTTTTCCTAATTCGATATTTGCTGAGGAGCCGAGAAAGCATCAATTGAATTCTCCTTCGAGGCGTCGGATAAACGCAATTGAGCTGGCAATGCGTGAAACTATAATTAGCCATCGCCATTTGTTGTTGTTTACATCTCTCTCAGGTCGTGCCGTACAATCGGAAAGGCATAGCCAAACTTTCTCGAAAAAGTCCGCGATAGAACTGCTTCCGGAATTTTCTTAATCAGACGAATCTTTGGCCCTTGAGGAGGAGACAGTGGTGTTGTGCGGCTGAAAAGATGCCTGATAAGGAGACAATGCTCAAAGATTTACATGCCCGTAGTCGACAAAGGCACCTGGAAAGGGCAAACTGGACGGCCTTTCAAAAAGAGCACCGAATGATGTATCATACACTGTGCGGTGGAGCTTGTTTGTGGTTAGTGATGAGTGGTAGTACACAACAGAAATGTCGTCCAAAAACCCTATTTCGTAACCTTGATTTGGTTCTGAAATAGCAATGAATTTTTAAGAACAGCCACGTATTTTGCCATTTTTAAGAGTATACTCGTTTTCTTCCTCACTAGCGCACTACTCCGCTTCAACATATATGTACGTCCTCTAACCCAATTACGGTGCATCAAATTATTACGATCTATGCTCTCAAAGTAGCTTCGAGGGAAAGCGGAAGCGAGGGGATAATAATCGGTGTAATCTGCTCGAGGTTACATAGGGCTCTCCTCCCTTTTGTAGGAACTCAATGTGCAGCTATATATTAGGTTGGCAAATAAGTCCTGCGACAAAATGGAGACCTTTTTTTAAATCATTTCTAAATTTTTTCATATCAATCAATTTTCGGAAAAATATTTACCGAAGAAGTCAACAGCCTTCTTTTATCCTTTGAGCCAATCACTGATGCCATCTCTTCAGGAGTGAGGGAGCTGAGACTCAAGGAAGTAATTGACTGCCGTTTTTGGATCACATTAAGTTACGAATTTCTTTTCCACAGCGGGTTGC